TCACTTTTCTTAACACATATTTCATTCCTATATATCACCAATCTATATATTCCTATTCCAGCTGTGTAGACATGGGACATTATTCAAGAATCAGTGGAGACTTCTTTTTTACCTGGTCGGCACATAACCTAGACCTATGGCATATTTTTGCCTCTCAAAAGCGCATTTTGAAAATTGGATTCGTTCAAAACACAGTGGCTCTTTGCAGATTGATTCTGAATTACTCTCTACTGTCCATTTAAAATCAGATGTAGCCTTTCCCAAGAAAAAGGTGTGCTATTACACCTGCCGAATGACATTGTGGCTGGCCATATAGCAAGAATGCAAGGGGATAGTTTTCAAATACTTTATTTATTTGTTTGTCTCTTTGTTTGTTTCTATATCTCCCTTCACCCAAGGATCACAGGGCTGTTTATAATATAAAAACACAAAAATGCATAACATAGTAACAAATGAAAACAATTATCCCCCTCCTTTTAAAAGGCAATAGATTGTTTAATTAGCCAAAGGCCTGGGGGAAGGGGTGGGTTTTCAAACACATATCAAGTAACCATACCCACCAGCCCAGACAGCAGGATCTGTAATCAATCTAGATTGGAAGTAGCATGGTGAGCATGAGCATGAAGAATCCTATACAGAGAAAACCTACCTATTTGTTCCACAAATGTTTGTGTGTGCAGCCTCTATATCAGTGGCTTTCCATTCATGTTCCATATATTATATCCAGTTTCAAATGCTCTATGTCAGTGAAAAATAGTTTCTGGGAAACACAGGCAGAAAAGTGCTATTCCACGCAAATCTTGCTTGTGTGATTCCCTTAGATATCTGGTTGGCCACTGTGAGAACATAATGTTGGGCTAGATGTTTTACTCAAAAGAGCTTGTCTCCCTCTCTTAAACTGAGAGGTGTGTGAATGCACACTGATAAATTTAGTATTAATTGCTTGAAATTTATAATTTACCGGTAATTTATTACATTAATTTAATTAATTAATTAGAAATTCCTACCTTCAAATTTTACTTTTGGACAAATTCATTATGTGGACTATGAGCTGCTGGGTGACCTTGGGCCAGTCATACTTCTTTGAAGTCTCTCAGCCCCACTCACCTCACAGAGTGTTTGTTGTGGGGGAGGAAGGGAAAGGAGAATGTTAGCCGCTTTGAGACTCCTGAAGGGGAGTGAAAGGCGGGATATCAAATCCAAACTCTTCTTCTTCTTCTTCTTCCTTTTCAGCTTTTAGTTCTTCTCATCCCAAAATCAGCTTTAAAGGTCCCCAGTACAAAAGCCCCTGAACTTATTTGCCTTCAGCTTGGCAGGGTTCTTTCCTAGGAGAATCTCACATGTTCATTTTTCATACCAATGGTCAACTAAATGCTAATGGAAATAATGTAACCCCCAGCTCACCCTAAAACTAATTGCTGCCCTAATTGCTGTCCCTGCAGGAAAACCACTGCAAACTATCATTATGAAATTTAGCAGGATTCATGCCCTCAGATAGAGCGATGTTACGTGCAAATATCATTCAATTCTGCTTTCTCTCAAAATTAAAAACATTTCTTTTTCATAAAATTGGGGTTTTTTTGGTGGAGAGAATGAAGCCATATCAAGAAGACTCATGCAGAGCAAGCTGTTTTCCAAGGTGTTGAATCAGGATCCACACCAAACCCTGTGGCCAGTAAAGGGTAAAAAAGGTAAAGGACCCCTGGAATGGTTAAGTCTAGTCAAAGGTGAATATGGGGTGTGGGCACTCATTTCCACTTTTCAGGCCTAGGGAGCTGGCATTTGTCCACATATATTACCCCTACATAGGACAGGCACATATGGTTCTGTCCTTCAAGACCTTCACTGCCACTTTCACCCCACCACTTACTGTAACCTAAGGCAGCTGCCAACTACTGTGCCTATGGTAGCACCAGCCCTGAATAAAGCCGTCTAGTATTCAGGCAATGGAGTATTTCAACCAAAATTTTTAAGCAAGCACATGTTGCACCCACCCAGGGCTGTCCTACCATGAAGTAAGGTGAGGTGACCAGATCAGGTGGTAGGATCCACAGGGGCAGGATCCAGCCTCCAAGGAATGCATTGCCTGCCTGTCGCTGTTGCCACACTCACCATTGTTCCCCATAAAGAGCTTTACCCCCCCCCGTTCCTGATGTACTTCTTCACTCACCTCTTCTTCCCTGGTGGATGGGGGTGCCATTTTGTGGTTTGCCTCAGGTTCCAAAATGTCTTGGGCTGGGCCAGCAACCACCCACTTATCACAATGCTCATGTGGTTCCCTTTTGATTCTCTTCAGGGTGGCAAAGCTTGTTCAATCATATTATACCACGACAGCAGCTTAGGGGCAGGCAAAAGGTCATAACCTCCACCAATTGGTACCTGGGGCTTTAAGTCTATCTGTGCCTCATGCTTCTTTGGCCCAAACAATGTGTATTTAATTAGCATCATTTTACCTTCACAGTGTGTTTTCCTAGTTGACAGCTTCTGGCACCAAAAAGAATGTCCTTGAGGGGAAAGTCAGGCCTATTGACTTGTGCATGCTGTTTGACTTAGCGTTCAAGTATTCTGAAGGAGCAGCTTGAAATAATGAAAGACAGAGCACTGTCGAGCCATCTTAACTGACAGTGTCAGGTGGGTCGAAGCTATTGAACAGTTCCTATTAAATTAGCTTAACTTCATCTCGTATAGTTAAAGCTGGAAGCTGACAAATTAGTTGCTTTTTGTATATAAAAGAGGAAAGCCACAATGAGACAACTGTTCACTAGCATGACGACAGCAGATAAGTCACGTCAAAAGGTCAATAAGAACCTGCCCATGGAAGAACTGCAAATGTTTTGCTTATGTTGTCAATATGCTCAGCCTCAAATAGTGAAATATTTATTCCTCCAGCTGACAAGTTCATTGCTGCTACAAGGGACCAGTAGTTAATTAGAATGCTTCATCTTAAATTAGATTTCAAATTTTCTTTTGTTTCTTTTTTAAACTTTTAAAGCTATTTTCCTCACAATCTCATGCTCTGTACAAATAAGAGTCTAAAGAACTACGAAACTGATTCCATGAACATGAGTTACAGACCTGCTCCAGGTGGAGAAGCCAAATTACAATTTGGACTTTGGGCTAGTGTGGTCCCAGTTCTCACTCTCTTTTCTGTCATATACTCTTATTCCCTCCCTGCCTTCTTGGTACAATAAATTTGCACCATCCATACTTTGCCTCCAAAGTGAAATTAACTTCAAAATATAGTTTCCTATTGTGGCTTGAAGGCAAATTATGGTTTGTGGCACCATACTGCCCAGTTTTGATGTCATGGCAAATTATGGTTTGCTTATTCAAGGGAAAGAATGAGGGAATCAGAAAATCAGAATATATGAGGTGGAGGGGAGAAACATGCGAATCTAAGAACCATTGATGACAGCTATTGTGTCTGAACTAGCCTTAGAGTTGCTATTTTTCCTTCAAAAACAGACATCTGATCATGACAAACCTATCTTTAATCTGGGCAAATGTAAGATACCTATAAGAGCCCTTGCTAGATTAGACAAATGGCCATCTAGACCAGCCTCCTCCTCTCACGGTAGCCAGCCGTATACCTATGGGAAGACCACAAACAGCACAGAAACACAACACCACTTCCCCTACATTGATTTCCAGCAACTGACATTCTGAAGCATACTGCCTCCAACAGTGGTGGTAGTTCATAGCCGTGAAGACTAGTACCCATGCATAGTCTTTTTCAGCAGAAAATGGTCTAATCTCTATGTGGAATTGAATGTGATCATTGTTGCAGAGCCAAGTGGGCTGTCCAACATAACATCTTGACCATTATTGTGGAATTGGTTTCAGCTGGTGAAGACTAAGGGTGTGACAAGGAGCTTGCAGGAGTTCAGCCCATAGCAGCCTCTTCCACCCTTTCCAATCATGGGTAATTTGAGCTAGTTGAGGAGAGTATGGTGCCTGGAGGGAGGTGAGAATGTAGTTCCTCCTAAGTAAGTTCTCCTTGAACCCTCCCTTGACAACTACAGGCTAGTCATAAATACCCCTTTTGGGGATGCTATGACAGCTTAGTGGCATTTCAACTTCAAATGCTCATGGAGGATCATAAGTAGACATTGAATCACAGCTATTTCTTTTCTTTTCTTTAATGAAGCTGAGATCCAGCTCCTTATGAGTAAAGATCCTCAGGTTTTGATGAGTTTGATGTGGTTAATGCATGACTCCCCACTCCTGTACATGCCTGATGTCAGATAATGTTCATTGTGCATTCAGTTCCAGAACCCTAAAATGAACAAGATATGAAATGTATATCTGCACTTCTAATTAATGCCAGTTTTTATACCAGTGAGACTATCATGGGTGCCACCCCAGAAAATTTGGGAATTGCAGGAGGTGGAGTTTCTGTTAAAGATTCTTACCCAACCTTTATGATCAAAACAATAATGATAATGATTATTTATATGCTGCCCAGCTGACTGGGTTCTCCAGCTACTCTGGACAGCTTCCAACAAATTAAAACATCAATTCAGAGGCTCTTCTATCTGTCCTTATAAGTGTGAAAGATACAACAGGTAGACAAATGAGATGAAGTATTCTTCAGAGTACTGCCAAACAACCCAATCCTAACCATGTTGCATCTATTGAATTTAATGGTGCTTACTCCTAGCCAAGTGAGGCTAGGATTGCAGGCCAATTCAACCTTCCCCAGACTGGTCTTTCTAGAGGGTTTGGACTATAGCTGCCATCATCCCCAGCCAGCGTGGACAAAGGACATAGACAATGGGAGTTGTAGTTAAATAAATTTGGAGCAGAGAAATGATAGATTAGGAAATGATCTTTCTGGGGAGATTCACCAGGCTACTATTAGATCGCTTTTTATTTGGGCATGTAAGGACCTTGTGTTGTCACCAAGACTTTGAGTTTGCATGGTGGCTGTGTTGGAACTTTTGATTGATTTGATGATGCTTGTTTTGACT